GTTTCTTTCACTCATATGTCTATATGTCATATGTCAGTTGGCATTTTTTATGTTATGGTTACTTTTAACACGCCTATTTTATGACTCATTCTTCTGCTGCTAACTCAATTATTGTGTATCATACAGTATGATTGTACATGTAAGTGCTGCATGTGTCTATACACCTAATTTTTGCATGATCTTATTTTTCTTTGATGTTCTCTGCCTTTGCTTTGTTCACTGCAAAGGCCCGACTCCCCGCAGGGATCATTAATGTTTCATCTGATCTAATCGAACCCCTGCTGTCACCACAGAGCCGCCTCACAGTCGAGACAACAGCGCCAAGCTGCAGTGTAGGACTGCAACACAAAGTGATGTTTAATGTGAATCACACAGTGTTGAGCTCGTACTGAGGGATGAAAATTCAAGGGTTAACAGCCGCAGTTGCTGTTCCCGTGTCTGTGGCTGTGATGTCCTGCAGTGTAACAACCTGCTAATTCACCTGTAAACGTGCTTCATGACCTTTTCTCCTCTGTGTCGCTTCAGAACCTCTTTCTCCACATACCAGTCTTTTCGTCCCTTTGTGAAGGAGCGAGAGACAGAAAGAGAGAGAGGAGAGAGAGAGAGATCATATGCACAGAGTGTCTGTCACATACTCAGAGAAGGATGGTGATATTGTAAAGAACGTATAGATGGAAGAGAAAAAGACACACACACACACACACACACACACACACACAGATTGGTTAGAAGACCCAACTTCAACACAATGGACTGATGTCAGGTTTATCAGGAATGTTCTTGTATGAATGTTTTTATTTAACCAACTGAAGTGACATCATAATGAAGTCAGCAAAGTGAGAAAAGGACAAATGGGGAAAGTAAAATAATTAATTTGTTTGCTGCTTCCACTAATGTTAACCTTGGTGGCTTCCACATTGTTTCCATTAGAAACAGCACTAACCACTGCAAACTGTTGAAAGTATGCAAGTACATAGATATGTATGAGTTTTCCATACTTTGTACACATGTCAAAAAGAGTGAAATTGAAACAGATGGTATACTTTAGAAAAAAAAGGGAGAACTGGAAAACCCAGACAAAACCCATAAAAAAACAGTCTCACAGCACTTCTGTTTAGGTTAGTTTTCGAATTACAAAAGGAATCACTGAATAGGAAGAATTTCAATTTGCCGGTTGTTGAAATGTTTTTTGTGAGACTTAATAACGCTTCTTGATTCCTGCAAAGATACTAAAGTAGTTGGAATGTCACTTGCACCAAATCCGCTGTGCCGTCCGTGGCCCCATGTCCGCTGTGAAGCTACTTGTTCTCTTTCATAGTTATTCGGCCGTCGTGTTTCCAAGATCCTGGCATGATTTACCGCTGGAGAGATAGAAACCAAACCTTCCTTTGCATTTGTTTTCAAATCCTTTTGTGGGTATTGTGCCAAGAGGAACTGGCTCCTCTACTTTTAGAGACTCTTTTTTGACTTTGTCATGATAAGGACAGTCAGGGCAAGAGCAGATAAATGCATCCCTGTAGCCTCGCTCAGGAATTCTCTTTAGCCTTCTTGGTGGCAAGTGCCAAACAGGCAACAGAGGTATTTCCCTGTCATTGCAAGGCCTGACTTGTGTGTACTCATGTGTCTTTTCTTCTTCTTCTTCCTGTGATGGTGATTTTACTGGTTTTGGTTTGACCCTGGCAGGAGCACTTGTAGGGAACGTAGGAGATTGAAAGGTCACGCTGGGCTTAAATACCAACGTTTCCTCTGGAGCTGATGAGGTCTTATTACCCATCCTCTGAAAATGACTTCTCTCTGCAAACAAACATTCAACAATAAAAATTAATTAAATAAATAAATCAGTTACATTTGAAAGATCAATTAATAAATGTTTGATAGATACATTCATTTGATTATTATCTAATTTCAAACCATTTAAATAAGACAACTACATACACGGACTGAGAAAATGTGATATATATATTTGTGACTCCATGAACAACTGCTGACAACTGTATATGGATACATAAGTAAATAAATGAATGAATAAATAAATGAAAAATGATTCAATCCTCATTTGTCGAATGTGAGAAATTTGTACATATCTTAAGTTTGCACAGGGGGTCCTTAATCATATAATATTACCATAATTAGCTAGAATTTTGCAGTTTCCTGCATATTTAGTCTGAGACACGTATTGATAGCTTTATTAAAAAAACACTTTGACGTACCCCATTGTTCCTCAAAGGAAAAGATCACTTCCTTGGGGTCTGCAGAGTCATCATCCCTGGAATCAAGAATTTCATCCACATGTTTGGAGAGAAATGTGGTGATGTCATCTGGTTGTGCTAGGAGTGCTGCCCTGTAGCAACACTCTGCAAAATGTATTATTCCGAATAATACTGTACAATTGTGGCACATCTTCAGTTTCTAAGTGTCTTTATCGCTCTTCAGAAATGTGATCTGCAAAATGTCTTCTTCTTTGCTTGGTTTATTGGTGGGTGGCAACCAACTGCAACAAGAGGCATTTATAGCATAAAGGTATTATAAAAGCTATCATACAAAAAACAAGCTTGTGACATCAAAGGCAACATTTTCCCCACCACACTTCATAGGAGGACAACACAGGGGATATTGGTTGTCTCCCAACAATAAATCAAACAAAGAAGAAGAACAAGAAATTGACCCCTGTGTTTGCTCTTCGAGTTGAGGTGGGAGAAATGCCTTTGGATCTTCAGGGGCATTCTGAAGATAGACATCCAACAACAAAGGTACGTGTTGGGAGAGTGAAGGGGCCAAGAGGGTGTGTTTTGCGTGGAGCAGGTTAAAAGTAGCCAGAGACATGTCATTAAATCTGAAAAGTTATATCCCTACTGTACAGTTTTCTGGAACAAGTGTAAGGACGTAAAGACTGTGGCAATATAGCAGTTTTGGTGGAAGTAAGATTGCAAACATCATAGAAAACATTTGTTCCACTATATACAGATTGATCCAAAGATCCTGTTACAGGAAGAACAGGTTTTGGTTTCAGTATGCCAGACTTGAAAGTTTCAGTGAACAGGAGAACCTTGGATCATTTGTCAGTTTACCCAGTGGAGATGGAAGTGATTGTGGCAGCATTCAAATTGGTAGAAGAGTCACAAATCAAGAAGGTTATTTTGTGCTGAACATTTATGCCATTAAAGTCATCTTCATCTAACAGTAGGCAAGATTTAGTGACTACTTTTATACGGCAATTATTTATTGGCTAAGAAAGCAATAAATCATGAAGAAGTCATGGACATTTCACTTAGTAAATTGGAAGCAAAAACATCAATCAAAGAAAACATTATCAAGGAATGGCAGCATAGCTGGAATGTAGCTCACGCAAGGAGAACTTTATGCAGTACAGCGGGAAGCGAGCACAGTGAGGACAGCAAAAAGGAGGCTGAGGATAGGACTACTAGACTTAATAATACACTGGTGCCAAATGGAGGAGTCAGTGAAAGCTTCACTGCAATAAGTATGTTAGAGAATGAGAAAAGCTAAAGAGGAAAATTGCAAAACTTGGAGCGGAAGAACTGAGCCTGGAAATAGTATTTCATTGGAATAGGTTGTATGCTCCATTATGTGAGGTTGGACAAAACAGTATGTTTCCATCTGCCACTAGACCAAACGACTAAGGAGAAGCTGTTATATATCAAGGGTAATAGAGATACAGTATCGGATGGGGAAGAATAAGAAGTAGGATATTGAAACACATAGTGTGTGGTGGTAATGCAGCATGATGTTTGTTGCGACCCACCAATAAACTGAACAAAGAAGAAGAAGTACTTCCACGCTTTTGGGAACATTAAATAGACTTGTATTTATTTCCTGTAGACTTATCATGCCGTGAATCTAACCTTGACAGCTCATCCCCATTTAACTGGTTAGTTAGGAATGACGTGGGACACAGTATGCCCATCTGTGTGTGTGTGTGTGTGTGTGTGTGACCAATTCATTGGGTACATTTGGGGGTAAAAGTCAAGTCTACAATTTGACAAAAAAGCTGATTTGTGGGTCATTGATTAAGGTAAGGGTGAGGTTTACATATGTGTGTGTGCATGTGTGTGTGTCACTGCTAAGTCCATAGCTATGCATCTGCTACTGATACAACAGTGAGAGCAGAGATAAAGCTGGCTTTGTGTCCAACTCAGCATCAAGACTGCAGAGTGGCTCAAATGGCACACAGCCATTGTCAAAGGTTCACTGCAGACACACACACACACACACACACACACACACACACACACACACACACACACACACACACGTTTGTACAGCTATCTTAGTGAGGAAACTCATTGGCATAATGCATTCCCCAGCCCCTAACCCTAACCATCCAAACTAAATGCCTAACCCTTAACCTAACCTAAATTCTAACCTTAAACCTAAAACCAAGCCTTGACCCTCAAACAGTCCATTAAAGGGGGGTCACAAAGTGAAGACCGGCCAACATGTCCTCACTTTGACAAAAATGTCCTCCATAGGTTAAAGGCTAAAGCTGGTTCTCACAAAGAAAGCTGTACGAACACACACACACACACACAGACAGGGAGCTACTGACACTAGTGGTGGTATCGCTGTCATATTATGTTTATATATTTTCTAAAATAAACCAATATCCATCAAAAAGCTGCATTCATTGATTTTTCTTACATCAGCCTCTCAATGAACTAGTGTACTGGGCACCTGGAGAATTTTTTTTTTTTTTCAATTTTGTTCTCCACCTCCTGAGAAAAGTTAATTCTCACACTTATTCCCTTGTTTATTAATGAATGTAAATCAAATTCAAGCCTTTGTTTTAGTACCTGATGGCAGACAGAATTGGATGTATTATTATATTATAACTATTACATTGTGCAATAAACATTTCCTTCATAATGATTAAAGTTAAAATATTTAGTTCTTTCTGTCTTTTTCAAGTGTGTGTGTGTGTGTGTCACCTCTCTCCCACTGCTGCTGCTTCCTGGCAGCTTGTCCGGTGCAGGTAGAGCCGGAGCCTCCACCTGTAGATGAGAACGGGGGTGGTGAGGTGCCAGGTTTCAAACACACCCAATGTCACTGTGTCCGTTCTGCTCCCCTGCCCACCTCCACACAGTGCGCAGTGTCCTCTGTCCTCCCCCCACCTGCACACCCTGTCCGTCATCCCTGCAGAGCTGACTGTACCTGCTGATATAATGCCAATAAATCTCTGTCCTGCTTGGTGCCAATGATACCGACATGCAAAAGTAAAGCTCAGGTGTAAATGGTAAAATGAACGATGGCTGAGTTCTATTTGGCTGCTTCAATTTCAGGGTGTGTTGTGCATACTGGCTCACTGCCACGCTGTCATGTCTCACCGATACACTAGAAGTGAACAGAGCCATCATGTGATGTTATCAGTAACATCTGAGCTTTTCCTACTATGACAAAATGCCTGCTGAGAAAACAGGTCCATAGCTTTTACAGTGTTTCAAACAGGGCACCGTTCTTCCAGGGCAAACACATTCACAGTTTGCTTTCCTATGGTCTCGTCTAAACAGTTCTAAACCCTTTCAGTTTCATTTGTGTTTCTAAAAAAATTTAAATATGAGAGTGTACTTGTTTATTTTATGACTGAAAAACAAGTCAAATATCAGCAGCTCGTCAGTTAAACGGACAAAATCACATTTTATTTATTTTTTAGCGGTAATCATGAACATTCTTTAGCTCATTAGCAACAGGAGCAAAGAATTGCAAATAATCAGAATTGAGTCACAAGTGTTTTCCCAGGTTAAACACAACTTGAATTTGATTGAGGCCCCAAGATAGTAGCCTGTAAATCTCTCAATAAAAGTGAGTCTTGCCCTTTGTAGCAACTAATTTGCATTCAGACCACAGATAAATAAAGATGGACGACATGATTGTTCGATTTTCTAAAAGATGGTCTCTGTCACTTTAGGTCGTTTTTTTCAAACCCTCTGGTAAGTACGAGTTTAACTAGATTCTAAAAAAAAAATGGGATAAAACATCATGATTGGGTGAGTATGTATCCGCAGGACCTTGCTACTGCATCTCCATCTTCGATCGCTACTCTGGCTCTGAATGAGCAAGATGGCAGTGTACATATCTGGGATGTTTTGTCTTCGTTTCTGGATAGAAGGAGGAAGTGTTTAAATTTTAAAGATGCGCTTTATAAAAAAATGTGCATCCCTGGGGTTTGCATTTATATTTTGCTCAAAATAATTTTTTGTCTTGGGTGTGAAAGGCTAGAAATCCTCCTTAAGTGTAGTCCCATGTTATTGACAGAAAATACAGTTAACACATAAAAATGAAGGTCAAACTAATTTACAAAAATCTCTTGAGTGCTCTGCAGTAGAAAACCAACGTGGTGATGTTTACACAAGAAGCACGACAGGTGTACCGACGGTGAGCCATCTGTGACGCCGTGTTGTGTCCACACCGAGCACTGACCCAGAAAACCTGGTTTTGTCTGAAAGATAAACTGAACAGACTTGTATCCCTACACCGTGTTAACAACAGACAACAGAGACGATGAAAACATCTGTACTTACTGTTCCGAGTGTTGACGTCAGAGCATGAAGTGATTTATGTTTTGTTGAGATCAGCAGTTGGGAGTCGATAGAAGATGATTAGCGGTGACCACGATGGCATTCTACTGGGAAGTTAAACATATCACCAAAGTAAAACAGGGAGTCTGCAGATTATTTTGCCGTTGGCTTGCCGCAGCATTGTCTGAATAAGCAGTGCAGTGCTATCATTAACTTATCAGATCATCGTTATTAAGCGATGGCGGCCTCGAGTCTCCACTTACTTATTTTCTTGGAGCAGCTCTGTGTGTTTATTGCTATTCCTGTTCCCACATGCTCGGATGCAGAGGGGTGCTCGGTGCCAAGTTGTCGAAATTCACCCGAGCCCTCTGACACACTCACACACAGCAGCTCGAAGTGGCACACAGTGATCAGCAGAGGGATCCTCTCTTATTTCCTGCAGAGGAAGAAGCAGCTGAGGACATGGAGAACTCTGTGACCCTCCTTCACCACCAGTACTACACCACCGGCATGTGGGTGTGTGTAAGTGGTGGTGATTTTGTGCATGCGGGCAGCTGGTGTTTGTGTTTACGTCTAAAAGAGGCAAAGATGGCGATGGTCGCAGAGCTTCAGTCAATCTTTCTAAAGCCTTTCTCCCTCTGCTATGCCACACTGGCTTTTATCTGCGGCCCTTCCATCTTCGGCTGCCGAGCATCAGACAGACTGCTTAACTCTCAGATGCGCAGGGCGAGAGAAAGACAGATGGAGGAGCAGAAAAAGACAGAGAAGTTTGTAGAACATGATTTCAGAGTCTGCCTGGGTGACTATATTAAATCCGCCCTGCTGAGAGGTAGCCAAGCATGAGATTATGATGCATCCATCTTCTTAGTGTCATTATTTAACACATTGCTCTGGCAGCTCTGCTTTTCTCTCTCAGATACACACACAGTCTTTCATCATGACATACACAAAGAAACACCTCTTTCAATGCTAAACAAATTAGCATAGACTGTCTATAAATGGACGAGGTATCTCCTCTTCCAAAAATATCCCAGATACAATTACAGGACTATTACATCGACTATTATCATAAGCTAATTTTAACCTTAGTTATGGCCTAACCCACACCTTTAACCTTTAAAACACGTCTTCACCTTAACATTTAATGATTCATGTTAAGAAGACCTGTTTTTTGGCCCCATAAGGAAGACAAGTCCCCATGTGACCTTGTAAAAGAGATTTTAGTCCCCACAACACGATTGAAACCTGGACCAAACACATACACCCCTATATGATAATTTATGTGTGACCCCTTCCTTTAAAAAATATCCTATTCACCCTAATAAAACTGTATAGTGCCCATAGTTACACACCCAAGTAAAGCATGCACATTAGATTGACATACAATATTTATTTAGGTTCACAAAAATGATAAGTTAATTATCAGGTAGTCCACAAATATTGTGGGAATGGTCTCATACAGTCATACAAGGGGGGAAACATACATGAGAAACCATTTAGGAACAGGCCCACCCAGAAACGCTCTGATTTTACCAAATAAAGTATGAAGCATGGAAAAAAGGATAAACTTGAACATTAGTTTAAATCTAAACAATAAAAAAGGAAGTTGGTTATTTATTATTATCCATAATTTTTTTTCCTAATCATCTTTTTAAAAAAAGACCCTCAACTATTCAAAATATCTCTTCTTACTCTGTCTGCTTTTAACAAATGTAAAAAATAATCCAAACAGGACAAACTAAAAAAAGGGGCAGACCCTGCATTTCCAATATTGCCGTATGTCAGGGTCATCCCTGAACTGTCCCTCAGCAGTATCAATGGACCAGGGACTGGTCGAAACTTCAAACCTAAACGTTGTAAAAACCCCTCTGTAGTACACTAACTGAGGGTATATATATTTATATATATATATATACTGTATATCTGAAAGTAGTCTGTAGTGTCCCCAAATCGCTTGTGGTGGGCTTCCCCCAGCTGCCCCAAAACCATTTTCCTCTGTTTTGTTACTCATATCAAACAAGACACTTTGCACTATTGCATTTCTTTTTGCTTTGGGAATAACACCAACCACCCCCTCCCTCGTCTTTAACTCCAACCCCTCCCATAGTCGTGTCTCGCCCTCATGTATGTTTGCTACAAAAGATGTTACACATTATGAACACATCATGCAAAGTGGCAATTCTGTTTACAAAGATGGAGTAGTCGTGTTTTGTTTACATTTTTAAATATGTGGCCATTTTAGGTGCGTTTGATTCACTCTTAAAAAAAAATCAACCTGAAGTCCCACCCGAGTTCAAAGCCTCCTCCCTCAACCCTTTCAACAAAAACAGAACAATTAGCATTAAAAACGATATATTACATTAAAACCACGACTGCTTGTTTCTCTTGTAAATAATAACCCAAATCTCCAGTGGACAGTTGTAGTCTCAGTCCGTTTTTAAAACTGTGTCAGGAAAAAAGTCATCGCTGCAAAAATCAGTTGGCATAAACCAGAGAGCGGCTGCTGCCTTTAAGAAAAGAAACCTTTAAAAACATGTCCTGTGTCGGTGGTGGCAATGGTTGGTTTAAGAAGAAATCCCTGATTGGCTGAAAGAAGTCAGGTGACCACCAGGTGAGGTAACAAAAGTCCCACCTTTGACGATGGGGATGACAGTATGGAGGTGTTTCCTCCAGACGTGTGTGTGTGTCAATATATACTGTATGAGTGTATGTGTGTGTACATTTTTGATTACAAACTTGACCACCCGCTCACATGCGTACACACTCACACTTTAAGTGCGTGATGATTTTTGAGTCAATCTAAAAACACTGCATTGCGACTTCCTCTCTCCTCATGCAGCACAGACAGTTGCAGAAACACAGAACACCAGTGACAGAAAAACACACTGGCTGAAAAGACAAAAAAAAGAAAAAAACCTTAACAAAAAAAGAGAAAATTAAGTTTGCTGCCTTGAATGTCCTTAAACATCACATAGAATCCTTGGGCGTGACAATTTTTTTTAAAATTTCTGTTTTTTTTTTAGTTCAATAATATTTCTCTTATCTATGCATTTACTTAGGAAAAAACTAACAAAGATTTCAGTTGCTCTCTTATTACTATGTGTGTGCGTATCTTTTTTTTCTATTTTTGTATCGACGTTTGCATTGGTTTTCTCCTCTTCTTAAATTGTCCTCGTTGAGTTTTTCTTGGTTTGCGTAGTTTCCATCTCTTCCTGTCCGTCAATCCGACTTTTGGGAAAAAAAGACCAAAACCCATATTATTTACCCAATATCTCCTCCCACCCTTTCCCACCCTCCCCGTTTTCATACCCCATCTCCTTCCCTCCCTCGGGGGGGGGGGTGGGTAAGGGGGCTTCTCAGTCCCTTCATCTCTCTGCCTCCATCGCTACACTAGCCTTCTGCTCAGTGCCCCCGTGCGGGTTTACACCCGTGGGCCAGGCAGGGCAGGGCTGCGTGGGGGGCTGCCCCTGAGTCCAGAGTCCCTGTGGTGGTTGCGGCACATTAGGTGAGACCCCCCAGCCGCCGACCTGGGGGGGCGGGGGAGAGGTTGCCATGGAGGCGGTCATGGTGCTGCCGCCGCTGCCGCTGTTGAAGCTCTCGGACGCTTTCAGCCGTGAGAACATGGTCAGCGCGTCCGGAAAGTTGGGGGGTGTCGCTGGTGTGTTGGCTGGGGTGCACATCTGGGAATGAGGAAGGACAGAGAGCGATTAATGACAATCCAAACAGTAAACACAACAAGACTTCGAAAGATATAAGGAAGACGTCACAACAAAGTGTTTCATACGAATGATTTATGTAGTGGCTGACTTTAAAGGTCCAGTGTGTAAGATTTAGGTGAAAGGGAACTATTGGCAGAAATGTAATATAAAATAATTATCATGATGTTTTCACTAGTTTGTTTCATCTAAATTGTATGAATTGTAGTTTTCTTTACCCCAGAAAAGGCCGTTTATATTTAAATACTTTATATTAACATCGAGGGGACCCTCTCTACGGAGGCCGCCATGTTTTTTACATTAGTCCAGACTGGACAAACTAAACACCTTTTGAGTTTTTATGACAACTGAAGCTACCACAGGTTCTCTTTCATGTTTGGAAGGAGAGGGTGAGGTGAGGGGTGTTCAGCTGCAACATGTAATTTCCACACTAGATATCACAAAATTCTACACACTGTACCTTTAAAGTAGACATCCACCCTGTACACTGTTACTATAGTACCTTTTTTCGACTGATGTAATTAGATGTGACACTATTAGTCGAGTAATAAATCAGTAAATCAACAGATAATTAACTGGCAATACTTTTATAATCTATAAAGTATGTTAGTTATGAAACAAAACTGTGCCCAGTTTGTCAAAGCTTATGAGTGGCCACTTTTTTACCTGCACCAAGGAGGTTATGTTTATGTTTCCCCTGTTAGTTTGTACGAGAGTAAGCAGGATTACACAAAAACTACCAGAAGGATTATGACAAAATTTGGTGGAAGGATGTCGTGTGGGTCAAGGAAGGGCTCCTTAATCTTTGGTGTGGCTCCAGATCCAGAATTTGGGTTTCCACTTTCTTAAACATTGTAGTTTTTAAAAATTTTTTTATATATATATTTCGTAGATTTCAAAGTAAATAATTCCTACATTTTCATGGGTTATGGGGACTTATGAGTGTGTGAAGTTTGGTGCAGTTCAATTGAACTGAAGGGGAGTGTCTGGCCTTAACTGTGGTATGCTCTACACCGAGTGCTATTCTAGATTATTCTAGGAGATTGTACACTAGTGACGCTTTAACTTATTGTTGTTTTCTTTGCCCTGGAATGGGCCCTAGTTTAGACAATAAGCACCAGAGAGATGTATTGATTAAATAGACAAGAGACAAAAATATGTACAGTACTGGCTGCAGGTTTTGTGCAATGCAGCTTGTCATGGGACTGCAGCACATTCTGTTTCATTGAGATGACAATCAGTGGAGAAATCTTTATCTCATGTACACACACTGTACCAAACAATGGTATTCTACAAACATCCATGAGGAAAACCAGACTTTAACATTGTTAAAAGGTGGATAAAAGAGATTGTTTGAAATAAAGGGAAATGTAGGGGAATCCCAGGCGCTCTCCCCCCAAGGGCCTGGTGGTGAAAATGCTTTGTTTACATCCACTTCCTGTTTCTGATTTTAGCAGAGAAGAGAAACCTGGTCAGACTGAGAGAATAACAGCTAATTTTGCTTTGAGGAAACAGACACAAACCAAGTCTCCTAAGTCTTATTACGCTCTCCTGAGCTCTGACCTGCTCCGACCCTCCTTTGTGCCAGCGCTGTTATTGTTCCGCTGCCAGGAGTTCCTTCAGTGACACACCTCGAGCTCACATAATACACCCGTGTGCCAAAAACAACACTGGACCTGACACCTTATAGCTAGCATGTCAATGCGAACAACATGTTTGGCTGTTTGA